TCTTAGATTTAAGTCTACTCAGCTATAAAAGGAACAAAATAATGGCATTTGCAGCAACCTGGATGAAATTGGAGACTATTACTCTAAGTGAACTAACTCAGGACTGAAAAACGACACATCGTATGTTCTCACTCACACATGGAAGCTAAGCTATGAGGATGCACAGACATAAGAATAATCCATTGGACATTGGGGTCTCAGGAGGGTGAGGGATGGTGAGGGACAAACAGTTACACATTGGATACAGTGTACACTGCTCCGGTGATGGGAGCACCAAAATCTCAGAAATAACCACTAAGGAACTTATTCATCTAAACAAATGCTACCTCTTCCCCAAAAACCTATTAAAATTAAAAACAAAAACAAAGATACATGTAGGGAAAAATATTCTGATTTATAGGGTCAGTTTTTCTCTGTCATGAGTCAAGTGCAAGTAAACTGTTTTCAAAACAAACAACACTAGTTTGTGCTCAGCAGAAAAGTCTACTGAGTTGCACTGGATAATTAGATATTACAAATTCCCTGTTGTGCATGACAGGTGTGGTGTGCTCAGAGTACATCATACCTGGTACGCACTGGTTGAATGCTAGAATCGCTTGGGGAGCTTTTGATAAACACAGCTGCCCAGAACACACCTGAGATTTCCTAAGGAAAGGGCTCACATATGTTTTTAAAAATTACTTTGCTACTCCATTATCTGATTTTAGTATTCAGTGGCTAAGAGTTGACTGATCACTGTGAGCCATTTATTTTTACTCTTTATAACTGCTAACTTTGGCATGGTATTCAAATGACCTCCATATGTGAGCCTCATATTCCAATGCTCAGATGTAGAAAAGAGGTTAAAAAGAAACAAAAGAAGTACACTCTTCTTTTAGAAATAGGAAAGAAACACCCTTTGACCATAATACATAACTGTATTTGATTCTTGAGAGAAAAGGATTGCTAGACATCATCATTTTTATTTTATTTCTTATGAAGTTTTGCATTGCTAAAATGCATATTTTTATTCTTAAAGAGGACTATGGATTAGGTCATCAGGGATGTTAAGGGAGCAGGTCAGAGAGACTGTTACAAGCCTACTTTGTTCAGAATCATGCTTCCTCTATGTACAGGAGAGGCTGCTCCATTTTAGGCACTCAGTAGACCATTTTTTGAGTGAGGAAATGACTCTGGGCTGGAAATGTAATCAGAGAAGAGTTCATTTCCCTGGATGTTATATTTTGATGTTACTGATTTATTTACTCTTTTTAAAAATTGCAAACACACTGTCAAATGCCCAGAAAGTGGCAGCCTAGGTCCATTTTCCTCACACTGAACCACAAGTTTATATGGTGAATTAATGAAATGTTTGTGGGAATGTTTTGAAAACCAAGCATGGTGCAAATGTATTATTAGTCAATTTTTCTACCTGTCCATCTCTCCTTGCTAGTTTTTTCTTATTTATCTCTGTATCCCCAGCGTAATAAGCACCTAGTAATATATATGACATAAAAAAATCACTGACTTAGATCCAATAAGCATTGAAGGCTTTCTTTCTGCATATGCATGCCATCTGACTCTCTTAAAACTGTTTGTCTTTTTTTTATGCAAACACAGAGACGGAGCTTGTGTTTTTGTTTCTACTTAAATGTAATATATTTTTCTATGTGTTTATTGTATTCTTGATGATGTACCTTCACTAATTTTCTAAATAAGTATTTAAACATTTTTTCCTAATTTCTAACTACTGAAGAGGAGTGTACAGTATCCACACAATGACATTTATGTAGCCCTCCTCTTATTTATGGGCATTTGTTTTTTTTCTTTTTTTTTTTTTTTACATATATCCCATATTTGAATATTTCCGTAGTTCAGATTCATATAAATGGAATTTCTTGACATTAAAAGCATATTTAACTTTTTGATAATGATGCTAAACCACCCTTACAAAACCTGCGTCAGTTTATACCACCCAAATAATGGGTGATAATGCCCATTCCAACAGCCCCTCCAGGTTTGGGTATTGCTCAACTTCTCTTTCTTTCTTTTGGTAAACCCTGTTCATGGAGGAGATGTTTTTTATTATTATTTTACATTTGTATTTGTATACCTTCTGGACACTATACTAAAATCTAAACTATGTAGTAGTTTAAGTGGCAGCTAATATAATCTCCACAATATATCACACTGATGTTCTGTTTCTACTTATTCATGTTTTGATGTTAAAGTATAATTTTAACAGTTAAGTATGAAATTTTCCCTATGTATCATAATTTATATAACTATTATCCTGTTCTTGAACAATTAATGCCTTTTCAGGCATCAATTAATGCCTCACCAATATAATCGCATAGCAATAAAAACGCTAGTATGTGTGTGTGCTTTTCTCCTTTTATGAATAATTTATTAAAATAAGTGCCAGATGGTGATATTACTGGGACAATATCACTCTTTTTATGTCTCTTGATAAGAATTGTTAAATTGCTTTGCATATATTAATTCTCTTGATTTAACCATTCCAAAATGTACATATATATCAAAACATCATGTTATACACAATAAATATATACAATATATATTTGTTAGTTTAAAAACATGAATAGTTTAACCAAAGTGTTATATCAATTTTATTATCATCAAGAGTATCTTATTTTAGCAGATTCTTGACTACTTTTCTGAAGTATGGTATATTTATTATTTCAAATTTAATCCATATGTTTACTTTTATAAATTATTTATAGATTATATACACAAAGAATAGAGATATATATATTTATATTTTCCATGCTTAAAAACTGCTTACTTTATACTTCTAACTGAAAGCAGCAGGATGCAGAATGAAGTATAACAATTACATACATACTTTAACAACAGGTCATTTAATTTTCCTTTTATTTTCTTAAATAATCACCACTATTAAACTGAGGCTGAATGTCTTTCTCATATTCTTAGGGTCAATAGATCTGCCTCTTTCTTTTAGGAAATTTATCAGTGGTGTGGTTCCTCTTGCAACAAATATGAACGTCTGAAGGCAAACCAGGTAGCTACTGGCATTCGATACAATGAAAGGAAAGGAAGGTCTGAACTAATTGTTGTTGAAGAAGGACGTGAACCGTCAGCACTTATAAAGGTATGGGGACTCATGTTGTTTGTTAAAGGGCTACCACTTGAAGTCGTGTGTGTTGTGTGTGTGTGTGTGAGAGAGAGAGAGTGGGGAGAGAAGGGGAAAGAGATTCAACATATTTTTCAATAGTGAGCCTAGCTACAATTAGTAAGAGGAAACAACAGAGTTATCTAAGTAATGGAACTGGAAAAACAGAAAGTCATGACTATTACTATCATCGCGGGTGTCACAATCAAAAGAAGCGCTGGCCCTATCTTCTATGGTATATGAGGAGAAACAAATGAGTGACACTTTTGAAATCGACTATAAGAATGTATTTTGGAAGAAAGACAATATTATTAGTTCATTCATCTCTTCTTCTGGGCTTCTCAGCATTTTTTTCAAACAGTAGTTTTCTTCAATTTTAAAATTAACAGTTGTTGGTTGAGTGTCCCTTTTCCGAAGTGCATGGGACCAGAAATGTTTCGGATTTTGAATTTTGGGGGGGGTTGGGAATATTTGCATATACAAAATGATGTATCTTGGGGATGGGAGCCAAGTCTAAACACGAAATTCATTTATCTTTCATATACAACTTACATAAACAGCCTGTAAATTTATACAATATTTTAAGTACTTTTGTGCATGAAACAAAAGTTGTGTTAAGTACTTGTGGGTGGAATTTTCACTATTGGCATAATATCAGGACTCAAAAAGTTTCAGACTTAAGAGCATTTTTTTAAATTTTTAATTTAATTTAATTTTTTATTGCATTTTAGGTTTTAATTTCAGATGTTTGGATTAGGAATGCTCAACCTGTATTTTGTTAAAAGAATGATTATAAAATCTTACACCAAGAGATTAAATATGCCAGTGTTATTTCAATCATTTTAAGCTAAGAATTACAGGCAACACACGATTTTAGTGTAGTTCTTAAATTAATATGAAAACTAAGTGATCATGGCTCTATAGAACTACATCATTTACTTAACCATTATATGACCCTTAGGCATTTGGTTGTGACCAAACTTTGCCTTTTAAGAATATTACAGTGACTACCTAAATGTATTTATTGTATGTATTCCCTTAAATAAGATTATCAGTTAAGGAGTATAACCCTCAGGCACAGACTTTCACATTAATGATGTTTTGGAAATAATTTTAATTCGGTGGGGAAAATTCTCATAGTATAATGCTAAGAGAAAAGGCAGGATATAAAATTTTATATGCAGTATTATCTTAATATATAATGTGTGTATACAGCTCTATATTCATACATACATATATATCTAGAAAAATATGCTAAAATATTATCAGTATTACATCTTGGGATGTGGCTGAATATTTTCGTCATCTGTCTTTGTTATAACGAACATATATGATTCATTTTATAATCAGAAAAAAGGTCATTTAAAAAGTTAAGATAAAATTAGGGATGGTTTTACTGAATTTTCACTGGGTAGAATAACATAGCTAATAAATCAGACTTTGAAAAGTATTCGAAACAAATTCTTGATCTTTTGATACTCTTTCAAGGCCTCTGTTCTAGAGATGTGATCAACCATGTAAATCTTCTAACTTGGCATATTTGGAAGCAAAAATCTGTAAATAAGATGTATTTCTAGTTGACTGTAACCCCTTGTTTGAATAGCTATGTTTGGATATAATAAGACTACGGAAGCAGACTCACCCTGTGAAGTGGTAAGAAGAGTGTTAGATTAACTATCAGACATCATTCATGCTTCTCCAGGGCTTCCCTTGGCCCAAAGCAATCTTCTAACTACTCATTGTCTCTGATTCCTCATTTGCAAAGTGAAGGGTTAGACAAAAAGGCTTCTCCAGTCCCTTTAGGTTCTAATGATCTATGATTCTACCTTACCTCTTGGGCAGCAGCTGTGTTTAATTACCACTCGTTTGCCACTTGTAGTCTGTTCCAGGAAGCGCTGCTGCTATGGCTGAGGGGCCTTGCTGTGCATGTACATATTTGGTGTCCTTGCTTACTGGATTTCATTCAATGTTTTGAAAAAGAAAGTATAATCAGTCAATTAATACATTACACTGTAAAATTAAAATAAGAAAATGCAAATGAAGAAAAACTGCAAAAATTTTGGCTTTAAAGTATTAGTGATAAGGATAAAGAGATATAATGCTTAAGATAAAATGTCATGTCTGTGTTTTCAAGACTTTTCAGTTTTGGTTTTTAGAAAAATTCGATAAAGCACCCACTTTGTTTTCATTCAATACATTCAGTGTCTATACTACATTTTATTTGACTACTTTCACTCACACAATGAACTGAGATGAATTTTCAGTGAAGACCTTTATTAGATAAGGAAAAAAACAGCATTCAGCGGACTTTTTTTTGGAAATGTAGTTTTGCAGCCCGATTACAAGAAAGAGTAATTATTTGATTAATTAATTGAGCACCTATAACAAACTTGTTTGACTTCTAGGCTTTCTTGGTGTCGTAATGATAAGGATAGAATAAAAAAAGCCCATGAACTTGGTTGGGAAGAATTAAAATTTTATTTTCACTAACTGAAGTATAGCCTTTCCTCCAACTGTGAAAGTAATCAACAAACATGAGTAACATGGACAGTCCTGTGACTTTTCAGATCATATTACAGCTATTGTAGACAACCTCAAAATATCATTTACACTCATTGCTACTTGGCAATTATTATTGCTATTAGATCTGTTCCTTACTAGTATTTAATGAGTTAATGAAAAGCTCATATATTACTTTATCAAACTTTGAAATATATATTGATATTTCAATAGTTGCATTTCAATGTAATTCATTTCCATTATAATACTTTGTTTCTTGTTTTATGCATTTAGCAAATATTTTTCTTTCATTCTTTTTTTTTTTTTTTTTTGAGAAGGAGTCTTGAACTGTCGCCTGGGCTGAAGTGCAGTGTGGTGATCTTGGCTCACTGCAACCTCCACCTCCCAGGTTCAAGTGATTCTCCTTGCCTCAGCCTCCCAAGTAGCTAGGATTACAGGTGCCCACCACCATGCCCGGCTATTTTTTTTGTATTTTTAGTAGAGATGGGGTTTCACCATGTTGGCCAGGCCAGTCTCAAACCCCTGATCTCGTGATCCACCTGCCTCAGCCTCCCAAAGTGCTGGGATTACAGGCGTGATAGTAAATATCTTTCTTAGAATGGAGCTAGGAGACTTCAGAAGTGGTCCAAATCAGTCTGTAGCACGCGCGCGCGTGCGCGCGCGCGCGCGCACACACACACACACACACACACACACACACACACACACACACACGGTATCTTCATTTACGATTAAAAAATATCATTTATTTTTCTGAGACTGTCATGCAACTGGTGATTTTGTTAGAGTCTGAAAATCTAAAAGTTTTTCAAATATCGTTTAAATTTGACCTTCTAAATGATTCATCCTGTTGCCCAGGCTGGAGGCAATGGCGCAATCTCGGCTCACTGCAACCTCTGCCTCCCGAGTTCAAGCAATGCTCCTGCCTCAGCCTTCTGAGTAGCTGGGACTACAGGCGCTCAGCACCATCCTGGCTAATTTTTTGTGTCTTTAGTAGAGATGGGGTTTCACCATGTTGGTCAGGCTGGTCTGGAACTCCTGACCTCGTAATTCGCCTACCTCAGCTTCCCAAAGTGCTGGGATTACTGGTGTGAGCCACCGCACCCAGTCTAAATGATCCATCTTAAATGGAGTTATTTTAAAATTATTTAACTTTAAAAACTTTAAAAACATAGTCTCACTACGTGAAAGTTAGTAATGGCTTGAAAGCAAGGATATTTTAATCAATTAAATGAGCCTGTTTTCATTATTTTGTATTCAATGCTGAATTTTTGGAACTTGACTAACACATTAAAATGCTCAACACTGAAACTCAAACTTTTCTGAGAGTCTTTTGAAAAATTTATCTTTAGTTTGAAGTATTTCAGCTGTTGATCACACTATTTTCACACAGTTTTGATATGGTTTATCTACAGAGTGACCATAAATTTATCCTCCAAAGCAAAGCACATTGTAGAGTATAACGGGGCACTATAGAGACAGAACACAACCATCATTAACAAGACCAACTCGGGAAACACGATGGATGCTCACCCTCCTTTCTGTATCTTTAGTATTTTTAAAGGCTCATGTGCCTAAATAGGAAGACAATCCTGTATGTGGAAATAACTCTGTAACTACAGTCACATTTTACTCTGAGCTTATTTTTGCTGCAAACTTATTTTTCTTGAATGACTGCTCATAAATTATGTAAAGCTTTTTTCATGATAGTTCTTTTCATATTTAAAATAATCAGTGAATGTGAAGGAAAATTAAATATTTCACTAGCCCTAAGGTCCCAAACTTTATTCCTTGATTAATCCTTCTGTAAACATTAGTAAGAAAGGTTAAACAAAAACCTGGGGAAAAAATAAATCTATATGATTTATAGACTTTCATTAAAAAAAATAATAACCAGCATCTGGTAGATACAAAAAGAATGAAGTGAAGAAGAGGCAGGTTGTTTGAAACAACAACAAATTATTTTTTTTAATCTGGAAAGACTTTTTAAATATAGTTTAATGAATTTATTAAGCCTATAATCATTGTAAATGCTGGTTGTGAAATAGTGGCAGTAAAAATACTACAGGGAGATGGTAGGCAGATGCTATGTTGCTGAACTGTTAGGTTTCTTGCTTTTATAAAATTGATTGCAAGGCTCTCTGGAAAGTCATATGCGCAATCATTATTTCAGATTTTGGACCTAAAAAAAGAAAATCAGAATAACATACTATGTCTTCATTAATAAGTGTTTATTCATTGGGTTGGTTCCCAATGAAATCTGAAAACTCTACTTACTTTATTGTTTGGTTGAAGAGATAAGCATGCAGTAGAAAATAGTCAGAGTGTGTGGAAATAAATCATGAGGGTCCTCAGAGGCCAGAGAACATAGTCAATGATATCACAATTTGTTGGAAGACTTCTCATGATAAAAATCTTATTTTAGACTTTACAATATTAGCATTGCCTAGATTAAACTCCAAAGTTTCTCCCCCCCCAAAATGTGCTCCTCTTGTTTATATAGGTCTTAATTGACAATATGAAAACAACAGAATGTATTCAGCCATTCTCTTGGAAAGCTGATGGGATATTTATGCTTATCTGGCTGTCACTTTAGTAAAAACTGGAGTTTAATAGGGAAGATAGTTCTTAAGTTATCTTTTAGAGATGTACTCTACTTAGTCTATTTAGGCAGAGTAAAATTTTAGCCATTTTTCCTCAAAGTATTCTGCAAAATACAATTATATGTTATCAACACTAAACTTCTTGAGGGAAGGCACTGCCTTTATATCTGTGTAGCCTTCACAGCTCTAACTCATTGATCACTCATATTTGGATAATTAGGACGATTAACTGTGAAATATGTAGCTCCAGAAACTAAGTATGCTTGATTTTCTGTTTTTTAAAAGATAGTCTTGCTTTAAAAATTCCCTTGTTTTAGGTGATATTGTTGATGTAGACATGAACAAACTCATATACTGATTAAAATAAGTTTTAAGACCAACTGGATTTATATAGAAGGGCAGTTGGTATTTACAAAGGATAATTCAAATATTCTGCTCCTCTTGTTTTTTCAGATGATAGTGACAACTAGCCTCTTGAAAAACAACAAACAAGTCTTGAGCTTATTTATACTTAGTGCAATACTGTTCCACATATTAGACAAAAAGCATGTACTCCAAGTAAAGTGCTTCACACTGTAGTAAACATGTAGCCGGTATCTAAAACTCTTCATCTGTGAATTAAAATGCATGTTACCTTACGTCCTTCTCAGGTTATGTCATCACCCCTTTTAGAATCCAGCAGTCACAAAACTCAAATTCTTTTCTGGCCAGGACAGCAAGTAACACTGCTGCCCACTGCCCTGGATACTCTGATTGGCTCTTGCCTGCAATTCCAGTGCTGCCTCTTTGGGAAATATTGGGGCCACCACTGCTCACTGCTTTGGACTAAAGGTGAATGTGCACTATGACCTCCAAGGAACTACAGAGATACGGTGCTTTATTACTGAGTCATCTAATACATTTGTCTTATTCTTCCCCCAAACTTAATGTCAAAAGGCTGTGCACATTGCTAGTGCTTCCAAAGGTCTTATACAATTTACAGAAATAGGTGTGATTTTTAAATTTTAAAAATTTAATCATTGGAACATTCATACATTTCAGCATACAAAGTAAAAGACTACCAAATTAAATTGGAATTTGGAAGTTTGGATTTTGTCAACATTCCTTAAAGTCTATCTGTGGAGATGTTTGTCCTAAGTTTACTGGACTTGCAATGGATTTATATTTTCATATTTTAATAAAAATATAGTTGTACATTTAAATAATGATTGTTTTGAAAATGATACTACAGAGAGAGGAAAGAGCTTCATTTCTGGGGTGTAATCTTTGATTAGATAAATCAATCATTCTCTATTTATCTTTGTAGAGTTGTATCAAATGAAGCAAAGAAGTACTAGTAATTGAAATGGGGAGCTTTGTGAAAATCCTCCTCATAACCATTTTGGAACAATGTATATAGTATTTTTGAAACTGTCTAAAGCTTTATAGGAAAATGGTATAAATAAATATACAGCTAGGCTGGTGGTGTACACCTGCAGTCCCAGCTCTTTGGGAAGCTGGGACCAGAGGGTGGGAGGATTGCTTAAGTCCAGGAGTTCAAGGACATCGTGAGTTATGATCATGCCTGTGAATAGTCACTGTACTCCAGCCTGGGCAACATAAAGTGACCCTATCTCTTAAAAATAAAATCACATTGCATCTGGAAACAAGAGTGGGTTTTACTGGTTTCCTAAATGTAAGATTAAGGTTGCTTTATGGGTTTGAAATACCCACACAAAAAATAAGTCATTTAACTATTTTTCTGTTGCCCTCCTACTTTTTTCATTCCTAGTCAAAACTCTGCACTTTGTAAGAATGGAAATTTGAGTTGTCTGAGATATCAAATTGGG